ACTAACCATTTAGGTGAAAGAAGCCACTGAGGTAGAGGCACCATGAGAGAATGAGAGTAACAAAAATAAGATCGTAGAAGCATATAGAGACTAATATAAAAAAATAGTTATAATATTTATTGTCTTTCCGTAGCACGTTGGCTTGATTCTTCCAACGTTCTGGCTTTTCCGCTTACTTATTCTTCACTGCTACGCAGGTCTTGATTTTTAATAGTTTATTTTATCGGACAGCATGATATAACCTCAAAATTGGGTAATTAAACCTGTACAAAATAAACGCAACGTAAAGACATAACTAATAAAAGAAACACCGATAACGATAAGAAATTATAAGGTAACAATAAGAGATCACTTTCGTCCTCCCTCACTAGCTTCTACTTCCTTTTTATATGGTTCCTGGATTGGGCGGGGCTTCTTGTCGGGGTCACGATTTCCTTTTCCAGTTTCTGGATCCCGGATGATCTGCCGTCTTTGTCAAGGCCAGATCTCCTCGACTTTTCTAGACTTTTTTTCGTTTTCTTCTTCCTCTCCGGCTCGGGAACCGGTCCTAGGATTGTCGCCACTTCCCCGTCGGCCTGAGATACTTCGCTCAGTAGCTACAATACTACAAAGCGCTGAGAACAAAAATAGCAAAACAAAAGCCGCAATTAAAAAACAACGCAAAGTGTGAAATATTTGAGTTAGAAGGATTCAGTAAGCAAGCAGCGCCGTACAAACCAAAAAATAGTCATGACAGCAATTTTTCTATGAAACTTTGTAAAATTCTTTAGAGGTAAATAAATTTTAACTAACTGTTCCGTGCTGGAGTAGTAGAGTTGAAAAGTTGTACCAGAATTATATATACTACGAAAAAAAATGAAATTTTACTTGAAATGGAGGGTTTCTTACTTGCGAAAGCGGCAAAATGCTACTTCAATTAATGGTTTTTTAAAGTCTACTATCACCAGTCGTAGCGCAGCTCTTGATGCCGAAACTTGCAATTTTTATATTTTGGTGTAAACATTATTTCTTTAAGACATAATTCTTTTTTAAAAGATTCAAAATGTCGCTTTTTGAGGTAAGACATTTCACAATTTTGTTTTTCTTTCAATCCAAAATAAAATTTGCTAATTTAAGCTTTTCATAATTTTATGGAATCTGCAGGAGACAATCTTTTAAATAAAATAAAAGAGGGAAAATTCTTTGGGAAATGAGAAAGATACGAGTTGTTCAATGTGACCATGTCGAAAGTGAGTTGCGTTTTTTTTCGCACTTTAGAAGGGTCTAACTTTCCTGACAGCGCAGTTTTTGAGGTAAACTCTTTCAATTTCAAAATCCGGTATTATGTGCTACAAATACCAAAAAAATGAAAAAATCTGAGAGGTCGAGGTGTAAACT